TGGGCAAGTTAGTTGAGATAATTGGGGACTCATTAACTGTACTGTAAATCATGAAGAGAAGTCAACCTGAAAAATTTTTTGTTTAGGCCCCCAAAATCTTAGGTTATGCCATAGATCTGGTCCCTAAGCGTTATTTTAGAGGAGAAATGACTTCATGCTGGTGTCTATATGGCCACCGTCACAAATTCTGTCCAACTTCAAGCCTGCCAGGGTCCCGCCCTTCTTCCTGTCGTTGCAAACACTGTTTAACTTGTGGAACTGAGTTTTTCTCTGACTGAATCAGTTCTGACAATTAACCGAGCTAAGCAAATTGCTTCTGGCAGAAAAGTTGTTGAATAGTACGGTTTATGTTATATATTTAGAACATATTATCCTTTATGTCACATCATCAAAAGAAATGCTCCATCTATCTTGTTTCCCAAGACCCTCCTGAGAAATAAAAAAAAAATAATTGTACAATGTCACACTGAGCAGCCAGCATATGAAGGGACAAGGGTCAATAAGCTAGAGAACATTAGCAGGCACTGATGAAAAAGTTGCTAATTCCATTCTCCCTATCAGAACCTTCTCTTCCTCCTACTTAGAAATCAGGGAAACATCTTGGTAAAGTGAAAAGAACAATAAAATTCCTCTCTGAAGTCACAGAAAAGAGAACACTAAGGAAAAGAAAAGATACATTTCCTCTCAAAATGGGCTCAGATACACATGAAAAGCAATTTATGGAACAAATGAGATGAACACAGTTGCTGTGACTTCTCCGGGAGTCTTCACCTCCTGACCTCCAAGTTCTCAATGGCTGCTGATCACTAATGTCAGAAGGGTAAATTATGAGGGTAACTGAGGTAAACAACTACAAATAGTTGGGCTCTGTTTCTAGAAAAATAGAAATACAAAAATCTAAACATAAAAGTTTAAACATTTTCAAAAACTACAGAGATATAAGTAATGACCTGATTTTATGAACACTGGACTTGTTCTGATACACAGAATCCTATAAAAGATGTGCTTCTTGTCATTTGTCTGTCAACGAGGGATGTCTTGGATACTCTAAAGGCTTTTGGATACTCTAAAGATTTTAAAGTGTCTTGATGTGAATTCCTACACTATAGGAATTGAAAGCAAATAAACTAAATTAAAAATCTGCAAGATGTTCAGGAATACTTTCCCTGAAGGAGTAAAACTAAACAAAAAAGTTTATGGCAGATCCAGTGTTCAGTGACAAGAAAAGCTTATAAAATTAGTTAAAGAAAATTGCTAGTTCAGTTCTTCCTGTCAGCATCTCCTTTTTTTTTTAGAGGTCAGGGGACCATTAATAAAGAGAAGCCTAAAGAATTAGAAAGTGCAAAGAAAGCTTTGATTTAGGGCATTGCCAACGAACTTGTCAAGCTTGGAGTTTCTAAAAGCCTGTTTGATTCTACTGAACACATTAGCTCTGCACACCATCGTGTGGACAAAAGGAGGTATATCACAAGCTTTCAACGGTTGAGAAAACCTAAGGAGAAAATAAATCTGAGCCTAACTGAAGCTTGAAACACATACCCATATTTACAGTTGTTTCATAAGAAAAACTTCAAATGACAATTTTATATCTAGTATATCTTTAGGGATTGTTTAAAATAAATAAACATAGTTATGAAATATAGGGAACTGACATTCTGTTTAGTTGTGACCAAGTTAGGATATCCTGGAGTTTTTTTCCTCCCTTTTTTTTTTTCACATTTACCATTAAGGCTGTGTGTGGACCTATGTTAAAGCTATAGAATAAACGTCCCCAGTAGAGACCATTTAATAAATTCTTGAATTATCTTTCTATTTGCACCCTAACTTCAAAAGGCTGTCTTAATTTGTCATTTCTTATTATGCTATGGTCAGAAACTTCCCAAATGAAAAGACTGCCTGAGCTCACTCAGCTCTTAAATTGAAATGTAAGACTGAGGAGTTCAAACAAATTTGGGAAAAGCATACACAGTGTCAATTATTGATGATCTTGTCATCAAGGCAGACCTTGTTAGTCAAACAATTACGCTGTTTGTCAGAAGTATAAACAGATGATAATTTATGAATTTACTAATTATTCCTCCCTGCTGTGGAGATCAGACATTAATGACATCTCTATGAAAGCAAACAAATATTTTGGAATGAAATAAATTATTCTATGAAGTGAAGAAGGACTTGGCAATTATCCAGAACACAGTCAAATCAGGTACTTTTTTTTTTAAAAGAAAAGTTCATTCTGTAGTGAGGATTTTCTGATTCACTTGTTTTGAAGTAATTGGATGATGGCCAAATTACTGCTTCATTTGATCCTGTATTATTTGAACCCAAACATCCTTGCTGTGTTGCGAATTTACTAAGATGACAAGAAGCAGCAAACGTTTTTAGGGGCAAATAAAACAGGAGGGAAGAAAATTCTTACCTTAACTCCATATCCTTACTTATTCTAAGGTGAAAACCAGTTACCAATTCCCAGGTACAAACAGGGAGTTTGTATCCTGGGGACAATTCTGCTTTGCTTTATGCATCCAATAATGCAATAATAATAATAATAATAATAATAATGAATAAAATCATTTTTCTTTATCAAAAAATTCTGAAAAAAATCATTAATACAAATCCTCAAAACAGGAATAAACCAATAAGACCTTAATCAAAATTACCAAGTAAAAAAATCATCAAAGAATAGAAAAAGAAACCATACTCCTGCAAATATATGTGAGTATGGGAGTAGAGTCACTTATAATAGTATCAGATCCTCTAAAAGCTAAAATGAACATGTTTAATGATAGGAGAAAATGAACTGGGTCAACAAACCATGTGAAAGCATAAATTCAAAAAAACAATGACACAGATGACATTGCTCACAATCAGGAGATATTTCCATCTGTTGAAACATTAAAATACTACAATAAATATTTCTGAATCTAGTGAAGGAGCAAAAAGACAAACAAGTAATGGGAAATTAGTGTGTAAAAATAATATTTTAAAATATAAAAATGTTCAACCTCCTGATAAATTCAAGTAAATGAACACTATAAAATTTCATCAGGGAAGGTACAAGCTTTGAAAACTGTATTTCAATGAGCCCCAAACTCAAAATATACACTTAGCACCAAGTCATAACTCTCTGTACACTTCTTTTGAATATAACATCCTGTTAAGGAAACACACTTATGAAGATTCCAATCATATAGTTTGTTTAAAACACAGCACCATTGTAGGTATCATCACAAGAAATAAACTGGTGGTGAACAGGAATTTATAATTTAAAAAACACAAAAATTGCAAGAAAATTTGGAATCACTTAAAAGGTACAACATAAATCAATGCAAACCAATTAAAACAAAACAAACAATAACAATAAAACATATTCTAGGTATTCCTAGCCATGTGTACAGTACCTGACCAGCAGTTCATTGAACTAAAATGAAAACTAAAGTCATGAGGACAGCTAAGCACATGAAATGTCCCAATTTCAGTTCTGCCAATTCTTCAATTCTTTCCTACTTTCAATTCCAGTCATGCTCCACAGACATGACTACATTCAGAATCTGTTTCAATTTCAGAGTCTGATTGTACTCTCTGTAGGGCTTTGACAATGAAGTTGCCATCTTAACCTTATTTTCCATGAACAGACAAAAGCTCATTTTCCATTCTGCTCTAGGAAAAGTGGAAGCTCTTTATAAAGAAGAGAAAGTCAGGAAGTAAGGATTTTCTACAACAGTGTTAGGGGAGAGGCACCCCCACCCTACAAGTGACGTGGACTTTGAACCTCTACAATTCATCTGACTAGCTATATAAGTATAGCCATCAAACATTTAAGAAAAAACTCACTTCTTATGACCATTGGTAACTTTATGCGAAGTGGTGATTGTAATTCCAATTTTCATTTGGTTCTAGACAACATGGTCATTAGTTCCTCTCCTGTCCCTTTCCCTGCCCCCTTCCCTCCACTCCTTAGACTTCCTTTTCCAGGAGCTAATATAAATGTCTTAAAGGACTCCCACCTTTCACACTCTAAATACAGGTTGTAGGAACAGAGATGTGTGAGTGCCTTCCCTCATCTGATCTATGTCTTTTGCTTTATTTTGGGGAGGGCATTCAGGATATACAGACTTTCACTCTGATGTTGCATACCTGCTACCATTTCCCATTCACCTTTCAGGATGTCCCCAAAAAACCAGCCAGTTTTGTGATACATGGGTTCTTTTTGGCAGCAGTGGACCCAATTGCTCTTTGCTTAGATGGCCTTTGTATGGGTCATTGAGCCATGGAAACAAGTGGTACCAGGTACCAAAAGCTTGTGAGTCTTTTGCAGCTTCGGATGTGATAAAGAATCTTTAGTTCACTCCCTTGTTCTTAAAGGCAGCCATTTTCTGTTTCACAATTTAAGACACTATTTACCAGGTTGGTCATAGTATAGGCAACTGAAGAAGTACATACATTCTGATGGAATATCTGGCTATTTGTGTTGAATTTTTTCTTTCTCTGTATCACAGGAGCTAATGCTGCTCAGTTTTGAACTGAGCCAATCATCAGAATAAAAAAACAAAAACAAAAGACTGCTTTAGTTGTAAAGGTCAGTTTTTGAATTCCTCATAATCTTCAGAGTCTCATAAAAAGCAGAAGAGCAACACAATTTCTCTCACTGTCATATAGGAAATTATCAAAAGATTTGTCTGCATAAATTGGAAGGCGGTAGCATCACACCCTTAGGCCATCAAAAATAGATGGAGACATTCAATATGAAGTGTATTGGAGTAAAAGTTGACAGAAAACTTCAGCGAGAACATTCAATTTAAACTTTAAGACAACTTGTATTTCTCTCTTCTATGCCTTAGATCAAGAGGCTAAATGAAATTCATATTGATGAGATAGTAAAAGTATGTACAATCTTCAATCTAACTGAATTGTTAAGACAATAGCTTCTTTTTGAAGAAGGGATGGTCATGATAATGTTTGGGCCTGTTTATCTCATTGAAAAATCTCAATAAGAACCACAGTAAAATTAAAATAAATCATTGGGAATGGACTTGGGAAAAGTATAGAAGTGTCTACATCAGAAGCTGGAGTCGAAGGATTTGGCTTAAATGCTCTAAAAGTGCTGCTCCAGGACAGCATATGTTTGATTAAAACAAACCAAGTTCCAAAGATTTGTCAATTGGTAGAGGCCATCACTAGGAGTCAGGTCATTCTTAGGAAGCTGCTCATTTTCCATTTTCATGTCCTGGTGGCTGGGCATGAGACACAGGATGGGAGCAATCATCTGGGTTACACCTTCCACTAGGTCCGGGGGGACCCTGAGGCCCTGGAGCACCGGGTGTGCCTGGCGTACAAGTGGCTAATAAAATAAAGGAAATCATTAGCTTGGAGGCAGGGGGGGCACATCCTCATCTGCCCCCCTAATAATATGATACGTGGTAAAGTAGAAAGGTCAAGGGGAAGAAGGGATATTTGCAACAAATAGAGGCTTGTTGGTTTTGTGAAGACAATACCACTATTACCTGAAGGCCCAGGAAGACCAGGATTCCCTGGGAGCCCAATTCCAGGTTCACCTCTTTCTCCCTTCTGTCCTCTGTAACCTACATAAGATAGATGCAAAAAGACAAACACAAAAACAGTAAAAGTATTCTATAACAGCGGAGCAAAATGCAAGAACCATTTTCATGTTTCCTTATTCTTAAATATTACCTTAAGAACAAATGGCAGCTGTATTCCTTGGTCTCAACCATATGGTTAAACATACATATCAACCTCAAGTTAAAATTCAATAGTCCTTAAAATCATATATATATGAATCGTCCCTTTAAATAAATAATAATCTAGTGAAGAAAACTTGGGTTCAAGTATGACCTCTGACACAGACTGCCTGTTTGACTATGGGGAAGTCATTTAACTTCTCAGGACTCCAAGTAATTCTCTAAAACTACTAAATTGCAAAAAAAAAGTATGTGTGTGTGTGTGTGTGTGTGTGTGTGTGTGTGTGTGTGTTTCCTTACTGGAGATTGTATTCACTGGCACAATCATTGACTCTCTCTTCATAACAACTATAATATTTCCAAAAAAAAGATACTCATTTACCATTCAAGTTCTCTTGTTTAAACTCTAGGTAATGAGCATCAAAAGGGGCTCAAAGAAACTAAAATGAAACTTTCACCTTCTTCCTCAAATAATTTTGAAAGTCTATGTAGTCTTTCAACAGAAACGGACATAAATACCTATTGGAGGCTGTTGTTGCTTACAAAGCTAAATTACCATATTCAATGAGTCTTGCCTTAAATGTCACTCCTTTAATTAAATAAAATAGCCATGAAACAGTTCAAGTTTCAGAAGAGTAATGAAGTCTTTATGTGTATTAACAACATGACAGCTAGAATGTGAGTGTATATGTGACATTATCCATGCTTGTTAACCATTGGATAGAGAATAAGGGCTTGGTTCAATTTATCATTTATAATTCCATTTAATGTACAAGATTCTGTGCCTTATGAGGTCTGAGATTTTATTCCCCCTATGAGTTGAAAGCTACAGTAAGGGTTAGAAAAAAAAAGGAGAGGAAATAGTGGTTGAATAAGTTGAACAAATATTGATCAGGCAATATTTCTTCAGTTTAAGCCAACTGAGCCCAAATGGACAGTGCTGGCCCATTTGTCTACCACAAATTACTTTTCATCAGAACCCATAGACAAATATCAAAGGATATAAATATAGTGGCTTCCAAAGAATGCAGTTGCTTTACAACCAAGAAAAGATATCCAGACACTCAGACCTTTAAATTTAATTCAAGGTCCACATCAAATTCAACACCAAATTGCACTAATTCCCAAACCCACTTAGCAGTAAACAAACTAGAAGACTAATTGATAATTTTTTCCACTTTCTTTTCACCTAATCAACAACAATAAAGGAGCATTTGACATCAGAGTAACAATACAATCTTGCTGAAAGATGCAGTTGACATAGCAAAGGATAGAATGGCAGTAGGAAATAATCAACTTAGAAAAAATTAGCTTTAAGTTAGTCATGCATTTTAATAACTGTGTCTCATAACAACAGAGTGATGGTAAGTCTGTAGACTTCATGGCTTCCTGCAAATAGCACGTGAAAATTCTTGAAATTCCCCATGGCTTTCAGTATACTTAAGGAAGCATCAGGTCTTGGGGGCTTCTGGCTTGCAGATATTCCAAGTCAGTGACCTGGTTCATATACATCTAATACCATCTCAGCTTTGACTTGGCAAGGAAAAAGAAATGCCTGCATTAGTTTCCAAACAGCATGAGCACTTCCATAACCACAGGTTTTGTTTTTGAAGTGTGCACAATCACAAATATGAAATGATCAAGAAAAACTTGGCATATTTAATAAACAGATTGAAGTGTATGCCATACATCTGCACAGCAAAGAACCTCTACTGATTTATGTGTGGGATTGGCGATGCTTGTTTTAGAAAGACAGAATACAACGTCATATTGTGTAGAAAGTGATTTCTAAAGCATATTGGTACAACATCATAGTTTCACATACATGAATGCTGAAAACATCTCTCAAGTGTCCTTTGCAGAAGGGATTTTTATAGGATTCAAACAATAAGGAAAAAAAGTTAGTCAGCTTCATCAAAGGGCATTTAGGAATGCCTAATCAAAAATGCCCCATTACAGAAAAAAATAATAAACTTTACATGAGTTATATTTGACAATTCAGCTATGGCCTTTGTTATTACACTTCTGGAAGATCAGTTACATGAGAAAGTATTGATGATCAGAGGAGAAAAAAATACCTATTAATGGCCAAGCAACGTCAAACTTTCTATCAATGAAAGGACTAGAGCTATAGTAGCATGAAGGGATATAGTTTACAATAAAGAGCCTAATTTACCAACACCTTGCATATTCAAATTAAAATTCTGTGTTTCGTTTGACCCCTCTACTTTAATAGTTATATTACGGTATAGTCTTTAAAAAATCAATGAGACACAAATGTGTCTCTGTCTGTTTCTCTATAGACACACGCAAGTGTGTATATGTATGTATATATTCAGTAAGTGGTTGGACTAGATGAATAATAGGTAGAAATGGCCCTGTTGAGTTAAGGATACCTCAGTTCAAACTAGTAAATTATAACATTTGGAAATTGAAATATGAAGCTGACATTAACTAGTGAATTTGCTTGTCAATTTGGAGCCTGTATCGAGTGTTTGTATATATTTATACACATACATACATATATGTATATCTATATTTGTGTATGTACATACTAAGTAAAAGGAGTGGTTTTGGTATCCAGAGGAACTGATCATGGATTGATTTATTAAGAAAGTGATGTGCTATATAATTAAATCTGGTACTAACACTTCAGTTGGAACTCTGAACTTACATTTAAGGATTTCATTTATATGTCTTTGGGCATACTAGATAAATATTTATTACTTTGTCTATTACACATTTAATATGGTTCCTGTTGGAGGCATATATCAAGAACCATCTGCGTTCCCTTTGATACAATTTTCAGGCACTGAGAAATGGATGTTTAGTGACTTAGACTTTGGAGGTCTATATCTACACTAGTCAGATAAATTGTTCTTTTGAATAATGGAAGAGCCCTTTGGGTTAGTGTGTTTGTGGCTAACTGTAATTACAAATAATCATTCAACAAGAAATTATTAAACACTTACTATGTAAAAGGCACTATAGTAGGCACTGGGAAACAAATTAAAAAATGGGATCATTAGGGGCAGCTAGGTGGCGCAGTGGATAGAGCACTGGCCCAGAAGTCAGGAGGACCTGAGTTTAAATCCAGCCTCAGACAAAACACTCGACACTTATAGCTGTGTGACCCTGGGCAAGTCACTTAACCATAATTGCCTTAAAAAATGGGATCATTCTTGCCCTCAAGGGGTTTATATTCTACTTGGGGGATATACTATATTCCTAGACAAGTAAATACAGGATATGTACACAATAACTACACAATGATTTGAGGGCAGGGAGTACTAATACTTGGAGGAATCAGGAAAGGTCTGATAACAGAAGTTATCTATATATCTCTATCTGTCTATCTGTCTGTCTGTCTGTCTATCTATCTATCTGAAAAGAACAGTAATTAAAGAGGAATTGTGCTTTTTAACCTGGCAGAGACAGGAATTGAAGCAAACTCATGGACGTGAAGTATCTTTGTTCTGAATCCTATGTCCAGCTCTGTACCTCTAGAGCAGAGGTTCCTAAATTTATTTGACCTACTGCCCCTTTAAAAAAATTTACTCAGCACCCCCCTGGAAATCTACTTTCTTTAACCCTTTAACAGTTTTCTTGAAATTTGAATCATTTCAATTTGCATCATTTGAAAAAATGATACATCTAAATTTAATAATTTATTGTAAATTTGTGTTTTTTCCTGCATTGAAATTTTTATGACATAGTAATGTGTCATGTAACTGCATAGTATCATATTGTAAACTAGTCATTGCATGCACATATTCCTGCTGATGCATGTTGGACTTCCTGACAATGGGTGGAATGCTTGCCTGACAACACTTGCTTGTTAAGACCTGTTGGCAGACTTGACCACTGATTGGTTATAACTTACATTTTATGTGTTACTTGTAAAATAATGTAATCACTATGACTTTAACTCTGTTACACAACAGATGAAACATGTATGAACGGTTTTTCAAAATTTTTTCTCTTCTCTTCTTTCCTTATGCTTCCACTTCCCCTTATTTCTATTCAATGTCCCCTAATTGTACCCAAGGCAACTACCAACCCCCTCCCCCCAGATCATCCAGCACCCCCAGGGGGCAATATCAACCACTTTGGGAACCTAGAGGTTTCTGAGATGGAAGGGCTTTTTAGCTACAACACCAGACTGATTCTTTAGAATGCTCAGGGGGATGAAGAGGCAAGTGAGGTCAGAAAAGTTTAAATAACTTCTCCTTTCTAAAATTCACATGGCTGATCAGGGGAACCATTAGGGAAATTCTTCCCTTTTCCTTCATGTTGCTGAACTCACGTTGGCTTATTATAATTTTCTTGGGCCTTTCTACTGTTGTCCTAAATGAGGAACATCATCACTCCCCTGGTGGTAGCCCCACATAGATCAAGTGGTGTGCACTTAAGGCAAGAAAGAGGTGATTCCAAACACCTAGAATTTTCCTCTTAATTTACTTAGTAGAGCTGGACTAACTGAAACCCTGCAGAGACAGTGATAATCTAAAATTGTCCAGAAAGACAGTTAAAGGAGAATCTTAAAACCCTTGCTTTTTGGAGCATAAGAAAAGTGCAAGTAAGGTCACTGAAAGTGGGAAGCATAATTGTCTATTCTTGTCCCCAGGCTTGTTATGTATTTTCTATTTACCTACACCTTTTAGAGTTCCTAGTTTCCTTCAAATCTCAGGTTAAATATCAACTTAAGTCTTTTCTGATTTCCTAAATTTCTAGTGCATCCCCTTTCAAATTACCTTGCTATTATTTTGTATTTAGTATACACACATATATAATAAAAGCAATGTAATTTTGTAGGGTAAAATGAAATGATCCCTTCCCTCAAGAATCTTATATTCTATATGAGAAGACAACATTTAGGGATTACAACATATATACGCATATGTTATATATGTATATATAAGGTCTCCTTATTTTGAGAAATTAAATTTATTTTGTATATTCTCTTTATAATACGTGCATTTATATGCATGTATGAAGGTATATATGATACATATATATGTAAATGTTTATATATATCTATAGATACGTACTATATCTATATATTTTTTTGTTTCCTCCAATAGAATATAAGCTTCTTGAGGGCAGAGAGGATTTTACTTTTATATTTGTAGTCCCAGCATCTAGTATAGGGCCTGGAACATAGTAGGCACTTTAAGTGTCTACCATATTAATGGTTTTTGATTGGTTGACTGATCATTGTGAGAGCATGGGAGTAGAAATTGAAATACGAGATATAACATTATTCCATAAGATATTGGTGAGAGTTAAACACTCCTTTCTTAAACTTGGACCTTAATCTCACATATTCTCAGAGTTGATTTTCTTACTGCTGAATACATACTTCAAAGGATGTGTAATGGTTTTACTGTTTATTTAGCATCTTTCTATTTCTTTCTTCCTAAAGAAATATGTGAAAACAAGAAGATTGGCTGTACATATTGGTAAACCAAAGCACTGAACCCTGGAGTGATTTTTCATTTCTCTCCTCACAAACAAGTCCACATATACAACATTCAAACAGCCTCCTTTCTAGAGATTTCTGATGAGGTTCTGTGTTTGAACACCAAGGATGAAATTTCTGGATCAGTCTAATTGAGCCAGCAGCCTGGAGGTTGACCACTGCATTAGTAGGTTGAACATCATTTTCTTTTCTTCTAGAGAATACTGTTAAATTTTGGAGAGCAAATAATTCAGATTCATAGGATCATAGACCATAGATCCTGAGATGGATGAGATGTTAGAATTTGCCTAATCCTACAACCTCAAATTAAAGATGAAGAAATTGAGGCCTAGAGTGATTAAATGACTCGTTCCAGGTCACCTGGATAGTAAATAGCATAGCCAGTCTTGGAGTCCTTTGACTCCAAGTTAAATGCTAAAATATTCAGGGCACCAAAGCAGTCACCTATGTACAGCCATTTACATATTACTGGAGCACTCAAATATCAGCAGTATTAAAACATTTTTTTCAGTTGTGTGCCTGATTTCTCTGTGTGTTTTTTTAAATCAATTTAATTAGCATCGCATATACATGTAGAGGTATCTTCTCTTCTAAGTGTATTCCTGCTTTTCACTTGAAATTCCATATTACAAACAGTTTACTTAGTTTCTTTAGATTCTCTGAGAGTTTACATTTATTTTCTTGCTGTGTACCTTGAAACCTTTTACAAAGCACACTTAAAAAGAGATAGTAGTGGAGGCTAGAAGACATATTTTAAATTACAAATTAAATTACTTTATGATACTTGTGTTCATGTATGTGAAATAAAGCATTTGGGAACTATGCTTAGATTGTTGAATTACTTATTCCTCCCTTGTAAAAAGGGTAACATGTCAGCTTGCCAATCTTAACAAACGGAGGCTTTGTTAAAAAGGCAGAAAGTGTGCCATTTATAAATCAGGTAAGGCATTCCTTAATATTCAAGTGAAATTGTCCATTAGGTCTTCCTTCACTCCTCCCTCTGACACGAATAACAGTGGTATTCTACTAAGACATTTTATTATGGGCCCAGCTTTAATTATACTATGAAAAAAATATTTGCAAAGTAGATACTGTTAATGGGATGTGCTGACTTAGACCGGGGCTCAAATTCAGACTCCATCACACACTGTGACCCAATGTAAATCTTTTACCTTCTTGAACTTCCATTTCCTCACCTGAAAAATGAGTAGTGTAGACTAGATCAACTCTAAGGTCTCTTCTAGTGCTAAATATATGATCCTATGAGCTAGGTATTTAACAAAAACATTCTTTTTAAAAAACGTACCTAACAATTCCCATTTTCAAAATCTACTTAATAGAATTATTATTTTACAACCTCCTATGCTGCTTATCCTATCTTTGGAAGGCCTTCTACCTGGACAATCTAACAGTGGTTTGTAGAGCACATGTTAAGTGTTTAGGGAAGGAGCAAGTTGTCGCTCTCTACAGATCACCTCTAATTCCATGAACTCTTTCCCTGATCTCTCATTTCTGATTGTTCTCTTCTTTGGTGATCATTTCACTTTTCAAGCTCCATGCATTTGCTCCTATCAGTGTTAACAGTCCTTAGGCTTTATGGGGTTTCATAACACTTCCATGTATTTTCAGTTGTGTATTCATTCTTCTCTTCCGTCTGACTCGCTCTGACTTTAGGGCAAACCAAACTAACAAAAGGGAACAAATTAAGCAATATCTATATAATAATGTAGACTTCTTAGTGATGTAATAATGGCAGGAATGGCGATTTGTTGGAAGTTTTTCTTATCTGTTTTATCTTTTCTGTGCGTTTCCTACTAGTTATAATTTATGAGAAATTGACAGGAGAGCAGGGAGTTCTTAATGGCTTTCCTGGATGCTTTCTCCTCCCATGCCAACTAATAAGAAATCAGGTGGGATGACACTAGTAATAACACTAATTAAAACCAAATAAACCAGGAGAGCATTTGGGAAGACAGATTACACAGTTGCAGCTTTTTAATTTCTGATGAACAATAAGATGAGTTTTACAGTTTGGAACGCTTTGTACAGAAACAAGAAAACTTCTGATATGCAGGGAAATAGCACCAAAGGGAAATTATGGAGTGAAGAGCAGATTTGGTAGGCACTTCATTCAAACGTAAGTTAAGTCTTATCTCCCTACTTTATGCAGAGTTTCCTTTGATTTCAAACCGGGTACAGGAGATAAAAAGTAATGTGGTGGTGGGAAGGGAGGATAGAGAGGAAATACATGAAAGACTGGGTACTTCTTTCTTTCTTCAGAAGCATTTACTTATTTGCATTTAATATTCCCATGTTAAAACTTCACATGGTCAGATCCTGAGTCTACACTGGCTGCTCTGCAGGTCAGCAACCAGAGTTTTAGGGAGATAGAGTGTACTTGACAGTATTTACAAGTTGAATCTTGTCAATAGTTATCCGTGAAAAAATATTTTGGACTAAACCATCATTTGTGGCAAAGTCACTTCAGTTTCTTCATGAAGTAAATAGGAATAATTAAATATGGTTGGTAAATTCTGTTCATATGAAAAATGAGAGTTTTGAAATTCCTGGATATCAATGCTAATAGAAATATACATTACATATTGTTAATATAATAATGGTTATTGCTATTAATAATTGAGTTTAGATTAGCAGTATTTAAAATTGGTCAATTTAAGGCTCAACTATATTGATTAAGAATTTTTATTAGGGGGCAGCTAGGTGGCACAGTAGATAGAGCACTGGCCTTGAAGTCAGGAGGAGCTGAGTTCAAATCCGGCCTCAGACCAAACACTTGTCACTAACTAGCTGTGTGACCCTGGGCAAGTCACTTAACCCAAATTGTCTAAAAAAAAGAAAAGAATTTTTATTAGGTAGCACACATCTCGAGTGCTAGTGGTTAATCACTAGTCTGTAAAACACTGCTGTGGTCTTAAAACATTCATTATTAAGAAACTCTGTGAGGCTTCTGCTGTTTTCAGAAGGATTAGCTGAATAAGAAGCCTGAGAGGTAGAAATTGGTAGAGAAAGCTTACCTCGGGGACCAGGATCTCCTGGTGGGCCTGGTAATCCATCTTTGCCTGGTGGCCCTGGTTTTCCATGACCTTGGGCAGAGAGCATCGCAGCAGGTAGCTTCATCTGGGAGAGGAATACAGCCATCCTCTCTTTGTTAATGAAAGCCCAGAAAAAAAGAAATACATCAGAATCCCAAGGAGATAGTGTAAATATCAACACAACCTAAACCCATGCCTCCTGTTTATTCTGCCTCCTTAACAAGCAGGGGATTCTTAACCGGGTTCCATAAACTTTGTTATATTTCTTTTTTAAATCATTTGAAAACTATACTTCTAGATAATTGGTTTCCTTTGCAATCCTACATATTTTAGTTTAGACACTTCATGATATCATTCTGAGAAGAGGTTCATAGGCTTCACCAGACCACCAAAGAAATCTATGACACACAAAAAATGAAGAATTCCTGGACTCTATACAATTCAAACAAACAATTTCCAGGTAATTATTTGGAAATTTTAGACTTCCAGACCTTGTCTTGTATGGAAAAGTAGGTTTGGATTTTTTGCCTCAAATTTAGAGATTAGCTGTCTACTTCTATCAGATTTGATAAATGGTTCTCCCCTGAGCTGAGTCTGTATCACATTCTGGTGACAATTTTTGGGCTGACTTTGACTTGCTGAACTATATTTAGGCATATCACTTCAGTTTCACATTTTAAAAAATAGCTTTAAAAATACCTTCCTTCTCTTAGCTATTCCACAGAAATGTTTTAAATGTATATGGGACCTGAGTTCTTTGTTTTATTAATACAAATGAAATTATTCTAAGAATGAAAATCTGGGCTATATTTACCGCAACTCCATGATAGGATGCTATGTTAGGTCAAAATATATGCATGTATATGTATACACACACATAAATATGTATATTAACAATTTTTCTTGTTTGTTTTCTGAAGGACACTTTCATAAGTTATAAAGGACACAGGGTATCAATATTATTGAAATTGTTCTAGATCTTCTTTGGTAGAATGTTTGCTTTCTTTCTTCCTTCCTCCCCTCAAAGATATCAACCCACCAAATAACAAAAAAAAAAAAAAACAGAAACAAAACCAAAAATAAATCCTCACTAGTATGCTTTATCATATGCTAATATGTAAATGATCTGTTGACTTTTGTCTCTTTATCAATGCAGTTATCAAACCACTATGACTTAGAAGAAATCTTACAGAGTCTCCATGATTTGCTTATGGTCATCAGGCTGGTAAGTGTCAGAGGCAGGATTTGAACTAGGTGTTCCTGACTCTAGGTCAGACAACTGGCTGGATAGAGCACATGATCTCTGAAATCTCTTCCAGCTTTGAGGTTATCACCCTTCTACAGAGGTGGAAAGCTTTAAGGTGTTATTAACAGTTTGTTTGGGAACTTTGTGGAATTGATGATGAGGAGCTGAATTTCAAAGAATAAGCTAAATATTCAGCAACCTATACTAAATGCCTTTGACTCTGACCCTTAATAGTTGTTTGATCCTGGGTAAATCACTTCACCTTTCCGGGCCTTGGTTTCCTCATCTGTAAAAATGCAGACAATAATAGCACCAACTCACAGGGTTGTTGTGAAGATAAAATGAGTTAATACACGCAAAGTACTTTGCATATATTAAAGGGTTATATTAATGTTAGCAAGTATTATTATTATTATTCACTATGCAATGCTTCTGGGCACCTTTTATCATGTACTAACCAAATTCCTCACAAAGACTAGGATCATAGGCATCTCTCTTTTATATTTTTCTATATACCAAAGGAAAGTATTGGAAATAAGAATGTATAAACTGAGAAAAATTAATGTGTTAACTAAACTACTTTTTGTCTGACTATATCAACTGTAGTAGAAAGCACTGGCAAGTTCCAAGTACATTGTTCATCATGGGCTTTCTATAGATTGGGTCAGCCTGAAAGTCTTTTAAAGAAACTGTTTATTTTGTTGCATATTAAGGCCTGACCAAGATAGCATGGCTTAGTGGATAGAAAGTTGGCCTCAGAATCAAGAAGATTTGGGTTCAAGTCCTACCTCTGGCACATGTGGGCCATGTGGCCATGAGCAAGTTACTCAACCTCTCAGTGTTCTAGGAAACTCTCTAAGACTGTAAGTTATAGAAAAGGTGGTTATTGTTGTTCAGTTGTTTTCAGTCATGTCCAACTCTTTGTGACCCCACTTGAGGTTCCCTTGGAAAAGATACTAGAGGGGTTTGCCATTTTTTTCTCCAGTTCATTTTACATATGAGGAAACTGAGGCAAACAGGTTAAGTGATTTGATCAGAGTCACACAGCTAGTAAGTATCTGAAGCTGGATTTGAATTCAGAAGATGAGTCTTCCTGACTGCAGGCCTGGCATTCTATCCACTGCACCACCTAGTTGCCCTCTGAATCATTTACATGCATTTAAATGACATTCATTTATGGTACCTTAAATATGAGAAATAATAAATTTGGTAGATGGAAAAATCTTCTTTCTCTTACTGTTCATTATTTTACTGTTTACCACAAAAATGCATCTACTGTAACAAATAACCTTGTTACTGGAAAAAAAAACAACAAAATTTAGTAAAAAATTTAAAAATGTAGCTATTATGAATTATGAGGGTGGTAGCTGGTACAGTAGAAAGAATTTTGGTTTTAGATTCAGAGGAGCTGGGTTTAGATCTTGACTGTGCTCATTATTTCTGTGTGACCACGGGCAAGTCACTTAACATCTCTGGGTCTCAGTTTCCTCATCAATAAAATAACTAGATGATCTCTGAAGACACTCTTTTAAGGTTATCACCCTTCTTCAAAGAAGGAAGTAGGAAGCTTTAAGGTGTTGTTAACATTTTATTCAGGGACTTTTGTCTGTGGAATCGATGATGATCTGAATTTCAAAGAATGAGCTATACTCAGCAAGACTCCATTAGAAGACTCCATTTGTACATCAGGACTAATTTCAAAAGCAAATAACCAACTTAGTTTATGAGACAGTTCCATTTCATAGTCTTTATGGAGTCAGCATTGTGCAGTGAGAAGAGCTTTGGATTTATAGTCCAGAGAGCCGTGGGTTCGAAGCCTACCTCTGACATTTAGCAACTGTTTAATCATGGGCAACTTATCTAACTATTTTTGAGCCTCAGTTTTCTCATCTCTAAAATGGGGACATCAACATCTGTAGTATATGTCTAAGAGTTTTTGTGAGCAACAAATGAGATAAGTACTTTATAAACTTTAAATGCGTAAATTTCACTTAATCTTAGAATTTGAGAGTTGGAAGGGACATCAGTAGTTGTAAAGTCCAACACTCACATGAAAGAACCTTCACTAGAACATATCCTACAAATGGTTATCCAGCATCTGCTTGAAGACTTCCAAGGAGAGGGAACTCTATAACATCTCTAGGTATCCCATTCCATTTTTGGACAGTCCAAGTGTTAGAAAGCCTGAATTTGCCTTTCTGTAATTCCTACCCATTACTCCTATTTCTGCTTTCTGGGGACAAATCTTACCCTCTTCCACATCCTCTTCAAATACTTGAACACAGCTATCATGTTCTCCCCTGAATCTTCTTTTCTTTAGACTAAATATGCTCAGCTCTTTCAACAAATCCTTATATGTCTTAAACTCAGGCCTTTTATCAACCTGGTTGTCCTCCTTTGAATATACTCTAGATTTTCAATGTCTTCTTTAAACCAAGATGTCAAGAACTTAATATAATACTCCAGAGGAGGCCTGATAAGGGAAGAATTAATATTAATTCTTAATTAGAGATTAATCCCTTTCTATTTCTGGAAACCATTCCACTCCTAATCAGCCCAAGAACTCATTAGTTTTTTTGACTGTCAGATGCCACTTCTGACTGATATTCAGCTTGCAGTCCATTAAACCAGCTTTTTAGAACAGTTGCAGTTCATCCATGTCTCCTCATCTTATTATATCTGTGGAGTTGGCTTTTTTATACGAAAGTGTACGATTTTACATTTATCTCTATTGAATTTCATCTTATTAGACTCAGCCCCATGCTGATACCCCTTCTAACCTGTAAAGATCCTTTGTGATCTTGACTGGGTCATCCAGTGTTTTAGTTATTGTCCTAGCTTGGCATCATTTGCAAATTTGATGAGCAAGAAACATATGCCTTTATATAAGTAAGTCATTGATAACAATGCTAAGTAGTACATAGCTAAATATGGATTACTAGGGGGGTGCTGTGCTGCAGATGCCTTGCCAGGTTGATACTGAATTATTTATTATTACTCTTTGAGTCTGGCTATTCATCCAATTCTGAATCTGTCTGATTGTATTACTGTCTAGTCCACATTTCTCCATATTTTTCACAAGATTAGTAGAATGTTCTTTATCAAAAAGTTTGCTAAAATCTAGATAAACTCCATCCATAGCATTCCACTTATTCATTATTTTAGTAATCTTTTAAAAAAACAAAAATGAGGTTAGTTTGGCATGACTTTATCTTGAGGAAGTCATGCTGACTATAATCACCTCTTCCCTTTTTAAATATTTGCCAACCATCTCTTTAATGTTCCTTCCTGGAATTTTCTCAGGAATCAGTGACCTATGGTTTAAAGTGCTGTTATCTTCCCTTTTTGGATAATCATGACAATATCTGCCCTTCTCCAATTTTGCTGTGGGCAGCTAGGTGGTGTATGAATGGGACACTGGGCTTGGAATCAGGAATTCCTCTTCCTGAGTTCAAATCCTGCCTCAGCATTAGCTTTGTGAGCCTGGGCAAGTCATTTAACCCTTTATGCCTCATTTCCCCATCTGTAAAATGAGCTGGAGGAAGAAATGACAAATCACTCCAGTATCTTTGCCAAATAAACCCCAAATGGGGTCATAAAGAGTAGGGCATGACTGAACAACAACAAACATTTTGCTGTATCCTGTTTTCCACGATCTTTTAGATATCACTGACAGTAGCTCAGCAATCACACATGCCAGTTCTTTTATGACCAAAATATGTAGTTCATCTGGGACAGGCAACTAGAATTTATCAAGGACAGCTAAGTGCTCTCTTTCTATCTCCTTATTTATTGTGGATGTCAACTTCCTGTTAGGTATTTTTTTTTCCTCGTCATTTCTAGTATAACAATCACTCTCCTTTGC